CCCCAAAACCCCAAAACCCCAAAACCCCAAAACCCCAAAACCCCAAAACCCCAAAACCCCATTTATGTAGTGGTGAATTGAATGATAATCTTCTCCAATTAAAATATAACACATCCGTATTTATGATTCGACTGTACTTTTACCTTCTGGCTATCGACCTTGAGCCTGCTTGTTAAGCCAAGATTTTTAATAACCGCTTGTTTGAGTTCAAAGAAACCAAAGTGATGACCATGTAGATTAAGATGTCTTAATTTTCCAAATTGAGGTTTAGCTAAGAACTTTAGCAAAGTCTCAAGATCCTCCATTGTCATATCACCTTCTTCTTGAGCAAAGAAGCATTGTGAGATTGTCATTGAATTCAAGCCGATCTTACGTTCATTTGGCAACCTTAATTTCTCAATACCAAGAGTACACTTTACAAGATTGAGATTCTTTAAACTAACAATGCTGGTGAAGAGCAGGCTAAGACTCTTAGAAGAAAACTCTATGTAGTGAAATGTCAATTCTTTTGTAATTTTAGAGACCATCTTTGACACTCCAAGGCCAAGATCAGAGTACTTAAAATCAAAAGAGCTACGTTCAGCTGTAATTCTGAGCTCAGTAATGTTCGGAAGCTAGATTAAAAATAAGTAAGGTTGGGGAGACTTTTTAGGCAAACTGGAAGATAGAAAATCGAGAATACGTCCACACTTACATTGGAGAACCTATCTTGCTTCTTATGTCTTCTTTCTATACCACAATTATTCATAATCCAATATGTTTGATAAGATTACTGTGGAATTTATCATTTGGGGGTTCTATATCAAACCCTTGCTCTTCGGAATCATAAAGTGTGAGATTAATGAATTTAGAATATTTTGTCTTAAATATAGTCTATGTGCTTAAAACTAGGGGTTACGTTCATCCCACATCTCATCTGAATGTAGACATTGCCTTCATAATCTATTCTGTATCCGTACAAACTGCCATCCATATCAGTAGTGTTCATAAGCTCTTTCTTCATCTTAAGCTCATCTGCTATATTCTGCATCTCGGTGCTTGAAGTATTCTCCATTAATTTTTATTAAAGATTATCGATGTAGTGGAAATTTCAATATTTTTAGGCTGAAGAGGGGTTTTGGGGTTTTGGGGTTTTGGGGTTTTTGGGG